TTTTTTTTTTTTTTTTTTACTGAGTGGGAAATCGTAAGTGAGCTCCACCTACAGCCGACAGCTGCGCCTTTGCCTTGCCTGAACATGAGAGGGGCTGCTTGGCTCCTCAGGAGCACATCTGGGATTAGGATATGCCCTTGGCAGTGTATTATCCCCGGGAGCAGGGAGGTCATCGCCCCACAAATCGGTTCTCTCACATTTTAACTTAGCTCTCCCTTTCAAAAAGAGAAGAACAAGGAAACCTGAAAGAACACCACGCTATGCTAACTTGAGTGTTTCGGAGCATACACATTCCTGCTTTCCCAACAGAAACAAAACAAGTTTGCATGCCAGAAAGCCAGTTCTATCCTAACCTATTAATAACACCCACCTAATTACAGATTCAAGTCTGGGGAACGCAAAGGGCAGCTGTTAATAATGTGGCAGAGCAAAGCCTGCAGCTGCTCTCATCTTGATACAAACGTGGAAGAAACCGAAGTTGTGGCCTCACCTGCAGCTTCAGAACCAACTTCACAGTACTGGCTCTCAAAGACAAGGCTGGGGCTCCAAACGCCTTACTAACCTACAGAAGTTCTGCTCTGCTAAAATGGGAGGGAATGGATCAGATCTGAAAACAGCAAAACACCCACACAACTTTTTGAAGAAGGAATTTGAACCTTTATTCACAGATAAGTAAGGCTGCTATTCTGAGCAGAAAATGCAGTTAGGATCTAGAACAAAGTACAACAAAGAGGCAGAGATGGACAACTGCAGTGCACTGTCTTGTCGTGCAATAGCATAGCATGACCCTGTCCGTGTCAATCAAGGATAATTCTCCTCACCCCCTGACCAGACACGTACACCTAAGCTGCCTTTCCTTTGTTTCCCAGAAGAGGATTTAAAATCTAGACCTCTTCTGTACAGCAATGACACAGGCAAACATGAAAGACTGGATACTCCCAGCTTTCCTCCTCCTGCCTCTAGCAACCCCAAAAAAACCCTCAGGGTCTATGTCCTGCCCATTCTACCAGGCCACGGAACACAAAACAGGATTTAGAAGCCTACCCTCTATTTGCAACAACAGAAGTGGAATGAGAGACATGTTCTGAAAAAAAAAAAAAATTAAAATCCAGGCTTCATCCTGAAGGAACTGTGGGTCCATCTCACCATTCTGCAGCCTGCAACATGCTTTTGAGTCAAAATGGACAAAGAAACTCTGCTGCAGCATGGGATTGTGTTACTGCATCCATCAGCACTGCCAGCTCCGAAGCCTGGTTTTCTAAAATGAATCCCTCGCTGCCTCCCCGGTATTCAAAGGATACATGGAATTTCTACAGACTATTCAGAATCAGATTATCTGAAAGCACAAGCATGTTGGCTATTTATTAACATCTTAGCAGCTACCACCATGCCTAAAATTAAGTGGCACGCAAGAACGGGGGTTGTGTACCTCAGCCTAGAAAAGCCCTGTCAGTATTAGAAAAGTCTTGCTTTACTGAAGTGTTATCTTTCTGCCTTAGAGAAACCTGCTGAAACGCTTAAACCAGCTACAGGGAACAATAAAACTAGGGAGAATCATTTAACATCTGCATAAACAGAAAAGCAACTCAAACTGACCTTCAGGTTATATTCTCCTGGATATGACTGTATATCATACAGCAATGCTACCTGAGTTTTCATTAAGATCTGCTGAAATAAATCAAACAAGAAATACAGTGCGATTCCCAAACAAACTGGTGTATAGAATTTGCAAGAATCTTCCAAAGGGAGAGGATCGATTCTTCATAATCAGGAAGCCATCTACTTAAAAAGAAAAAACAGCAGGTAAATTTTGCATGTACACACCCAAACTGAAATAAAAGGAAATCAGCATTTTAGTACCTAAGAAAAACACTAGAAGCTATAATAATTTTGCTATGTACTGCTTAAGTACACAAAAGAGTGGGATTTCCTAGTCAAGAACCACGTGAAAGAAATTACTACGATAAAGTAAAAGATATAATCTTTGTGCAACAAATCATATCTGGTGATCATTTAAAAAAATAATTCAATTAATTCAAAATTAAGTTATCACATCATCATTTAGGAGTACATAAACCCTGTGCATTTCTTTATATTTCTCAAAGCACTGTTTTAGTTATGCTTTGATAAGATCCCTCTCCACTGGTCTGTTTTTAGATTAATACCATGCAGATTATTAATTTCATAGAAAACTTCCAAGCATGGACATTTGGTACTGCTAAAATTTAAGGAAACAGCTATTTTTAATGCTGCACTGAACATGTAGCATCACGACTCGTGTTTAACTGCGGCCTACAGAACAAGGTTAAGCGTGCTGTTCAGGTAAGTATGACAGCCGCTCATTAATAAGAAGAGAAGGACTTTCCAGTCCAGAATTTAACTTCCCATTTCTAATTAAGTTACTCATTCAAATTAACAAATATAAAAGATCCATAAACATTCAGATGTCCAACTCCAGGCTAGATCAGCCAAAGAAAAAAGGAAGATTATATAGTGCTTTACTTTAAAGCTGAATTTGAGTTGTTATTCATTAAATACTATGTAATACAGCTTGACATAAAAATATTGTCTGTACAACTCTGGACATTTCATCAGCTTGCAAGAACATAAAGCTCTGCGGTGGTATTTCTCAGTGGACACTTACTCTTCAGGAAAGTCTGAAGCTACACACGTACCAGAATTAGTATAGACAAGCTTTGAGCAGAATCATCTTTTCTTAAACATACTACATACTTGTTTCTTACTATGGAAGAATAAGAATTCTTTTTCACCATTACTTACTAAAGACTTGGCTATTTCATAGCTCTCTCATGATGAAAGTAAAAATGGTTATAGACCATCATCTCATTAGGAAAGCAACAGGAAAAAAAACAACTATCATAGGAACAATTATTACTGTAAAGCCTGCACACCATTTAAAAAAAATAAAAAATCACTTGACAAAACACATTTGAGGCTGTTAAAACCTTACTAATTGAAAATACTTTCAAGTGTAAGTTTTTTAGGGTTTTTTATGAGTTTATGTCCATATCTGCAGTCCTGTGGAAGTCAGATTAATATGAAGGCTTTTTAAAATTTTGATTCACAGAGACATCTGTAAAAGCTCACAGGGCAGTCAAATGCCAAACTAATGAACTTATGTTACCCTAATCTTTTCAAAAGTAACACAGCCAAACATGCTTGTTGGTTGAGATTCTTTCACGCTCTTTTATCACTATGGGAGGTACAAGCTTATGCTGTACGTAAAATCCTATCCTGTGTCTCTGTGTATTTACCACAATCTACAGTAAGTCTTTCGGAAGGACTTTTCTGGTCACTTGATACTACTTTCCAGATCAAGGACTGAGAAAAATGATCTATAAGCATCTATCTGTACATTTAGTGTACCTAGGAAAGCTTTTCCAGCCCAGGCTCCTACTTTGTCTAAGTGAGCAGAATCACTCTACTTCTATTTCAGTTCCAATACATAATGCACAGCATTTCTGTTCAAGTTAAGGCTGTGTTATGGTTTCCTCAGGCACTACAGTGACACATGCATAGGCATCTGACCAGGAGAATTTAGTATGTTAAGCAACATTCAGTGGGTGGGAAAGATACTTGGGTATTTAAAACTATAGGCATTAAATACTACTCATCTTGGAAGAGGTGGTATCGATTAAAACCAAACTGATGCCTCATCATCCTTGAAACAGCAGCTTTGAAACCAAAATCAGAGCATTAAGAATTTGGTGCAGTTTCGGGAAGAAACACTACAGAAGTATTGTACAGATTGTGTTTGTGGGTAAAATTGAAGCTGGAGCATTGTTAACAACATATGGGACTGTGAGGGAACTCAGCAGGAGCACTGGCAGGAGCACTGCCAGCAGCCCAAAAGCAAACGGAATACCAAGCTTAGTAGGAGACAGAAACAAGAGCCAACTCAAGGATGTCTCCTACAGGAGAATATACAGACATATCCTTGGAATTCTGGGCTGCGGTTTTTGCACGTTCAGCTTGCTGCAGCTTCCTGCAGCATTCAGTCCTGTGTCATCATGCAAGATGTCCTTTAACATGAAAAAACTAACAGATATGCAATCTTATTCTGTTAGATTTCTAGTCCAGAACCGAATCTCATACAACAGACAGAAATAATCGATTTTTAAACGAAAGTTGAGCTTATACTGGAGTTATTTATGAAATGCTACACAAGAACTGGCCATTAGGTGTCACCTTTGTCCAGAATATGTATGACAAAGTTCTCCACTAAGTTAATCAACAGAACAGTTTGCATAATAAACCTCCAGTATACCAATTTTTAAAGCGTGCACAGAGCTAGCGAGCTAATCTCTTTACAGATGTTCTGCAAACAAGCTAACAATCCTTAGAAACCATTGTTTCAGTAGATTCATGCAGGTACTTCATGCAGAGCTACTTACTAACCTAGTCAGGCTATACAGCTACACAAAATTCAACTGTTTTTATTTCAGTATGTTTCTGTAGGCTAGAATACTCACTTAATTACACTGCTTTTCCCACCCACAACTGGGGGTCGATTTCGTTAGAATGACAGAGGTCCATTCCACAATAGAACTGATGGACAAGCCACTTAGAACACCTCTGTTGTTTCTCCTCACCTCCAGCAGAGCATTCAAAATTTTGTCTCTACATGAAAAAAAACACAACTGTTTACAGCACATTTTGTGCAATACATTTAGCACTTAGTTGCCACAGACATTGGATCCATTACAAATCAGGGCAGAAATGAAATCCAAATACTCTCACCTGCTAGCCTCTGGATGAATTTCTTGAAGATTTTTCATTAATTTGTTAAAGCTGCTCAAGTGTAACGTATCAGGAGAAATAAAGGTATCATATGAATTAGTGGAGGAAGAAGCACATGTTTTCTGTGGGAATTTTTCTCCAGTATCCTAGAATTGTATCGAAATAAGCAAAAAGTGAATGGATTAAGTATTGTACAGGTAACACAACATATCTTTACAACTAATAAATATTCCTGTTATGGAAAAAGAAAAAATTACAGGTACAGATACAGATCAATAAGTTACTCTAATACAACCAGTCATATTAGCCAATCTGTACATCAGAAATAAAACTACTATACGCATTTATGTGTAACTGACATTCCTGCTACTTCAAATTAGATCCAATTTGTATTTCCCAGAGGACTGGCATGTTTAAAGTTAAATCCCCAAAGGTAGCAAGCATATCTATATAGTTTATGAGAGCAACACCAGCAACTATTAACTTTGGTCCAAGGACCAACCTGAGTGAATACAAAATACTATATACATAGGCATTTCTTAGATTTATTAGAAAACCCAAGAGAGTTTCCCCCCCAGTATCCCAAAATCTCTCTTTTATAAAATCACAAGACATTCACATAAAAAAAGTGTTAGAAGCGGAAACTCAAAAGAGGAGAAAAATCTAATGGAAATGACTAGGTTCCCAGCTGGTTTAGGATTAAGAAAAAAAGACAGAGTATCACAATTTCACGCAGAGGCAAATGAGTGGTGCTCTCACTCTTCTGCAGCACTCCAGAAATTTATGACACATAACATGTTTTCTCATCCTAACATGATTCTATATATATATAAAATATAAAATGTTATGGAACAAGAAGTTTTAAGGCTCTTAAGCTGCCATATAAAGGAGCCTTCATAATAATTATTTACCTTTTTATTAACTTGAAGTGAGAAATTTACTGAATCTTCAGCAGATGATTTCAGACCAGGGCACTTTTTTTCTGAAGGTACTTGCACAGAGCAAGAAATTTTTGAAGAAGTTATGGGAAGGCGGTGCATTTGCTCAGAAGCAGAGGTGGCATCAGGTGCTTTCACTGAATTAGAGGCTGAAGAGAGTGTTTTATCTTGATCATTTCTCCGACTGTTATCAACAGGTTGGATTTCATGCCAAAGCTTATTTGTAAGTATTTGAGAAACCGAAGATTTGTTGTCTGATGAATGATTTACAAGTTCAACGCTTACTGGTTTTCCTTTAATTTTTTTCTGGTTCATTTCCTCTACAGCTAACTTTGCTTTATTAGTGTCTTTAAAGCAAAGAAATGCATATCTAAGACATAAAATTTAAAAAAGAAAAAAAAAAACCAGAAACTGAATAAAACATAAAGTACTATCACTAAGAACATACGATGATTATCTTTTGAATATTAACTATATCTCACTTAAACTCAACAGAAACTTTCAAACTTCTTAACTTCTCTTAAGATTAGAAGCTGTCTAGAATGACAGATTTTTGTCAAGCTATTACTGTAACTATAGTAATCACTGAAATGAAATTAAAACAATTTAGTGAACAACTCCCTCCTCTCTCCCATGATTTGCTTACTTTGACAGCAAAAAAATCTGAAATGAGTAAAACTTATATTAATATACCTGTAATTACCAGAATCCACACAGGTAACAATGTCAGAAATCTGATACTTCTGGAAATGCAATCTTAAATCATCCTACAAAACAGAAGCATATTTGGGTTGTAAATATATAGTGGGAAAGAATTCTGAGAGGCAAGACGGTACTACTACTATGTAAATAAGAACATGCATACCTCTGACACTGAGGAACATAGGCCGCCAACACGGATAAAAGAACACTCATTTCCACTCTCCATTTTCTTCACTTCTGATAATAAATGTAAGAAAACAAGGTGTTACTAACTGTTCTTGCTTCAGTTCAAGCTAACATCTTCTCCGAAGATTTTGGAAAACGTAGATAGAAAAACCTTCCAAAACCATAAAAGAATGAAAAGTATCTTTAAACAGAAAATGAGCATCCTGAGAAGTAGAACAGTTCAATTTGTGGAATCTCTTTTGTGTATTTCCTGAGGTTTGAAGAGGCAGAAGAGGTACAACCAGAGAGAACACAGGTCTGAACCAACAGGTATCAGTGCTAAAACAGGAGTATGTACTGTGAGGCCCCACCACAGAGCACACAAGCTCTCTGCTTTCAATGTACTGGGACTTCTATCTGTGCCCGTCACTGTGGCCCAAGCCTCCAAACACAGACCATTCCCAGCTAACTCATAAGAAGCCAGTATGGGGACAGAAGCAGAAAGAGGAAGAGAAAAAAAAAGGGAAGATTTCCAGCTACATGATTGGCTGGACATTTACTAAATCACATTTAACCACTGTAGGTAATGTTTTCAAGGAAAAACATGGATGAAGAGACCTGAGTATCTGTAAAAGGATTCACTGCAAGTCAATGAAAAAATAAAAAAAACCCTCTGAAAACCAAAATAACATTTTTTCCAAGTTTACTTGTGCTTGTAGAAGGAACAGAATACTCAAATAATAAACAAACACCATTATTAGGTATGGTAGCTTAAAGCACACAACCTCACCTCTTAAATCAACCATGTCCTGTTTTTCTTGTTGCTTTTTCATTTCTTCAGCTGTTACTGAAAAATCTGTTACTGTCAAGTCGTCTTTAGCATCAAACCAATACTCATTCCATTCTTCATTTTTCACATAGCCTTGACAGTTGAAATAAATTTCAGTGTGTTAAAATGCAGACTGTGGTATGTCATATGAATGAATACCAAATTTTTGTGCTTAAGAGGATTCCAGCTGCCTACATGACTTGGTATTACATTACAAAGAGGTGACACATACTAGTTGTCACATCTCGATCAAACAGCAAAATTTTTCTTCAAGATGGAAAATGTAATATAGAGCTGAAATAATGCTAATCATTCCAACACAGAAAGGACAGTTGAGTATGCATATGTATGTTTTACACAGAGTTTGGTTTTTTCCCAACACCTTAACTAACAAATAATGCAGAATTTGCACTAGAAGCAGATCGCTTACCACTTTCCACGTGCTGATCTTTATGCTGTACATCAAGTGCCTTGAAGGAAGTAGAGTCACTTGGCTGACCTCCATCAGATAAACATACAGTCTGTGGCTTGTCCTACAAACATGCTTCAGTTATGTCATAGCACTTGGACCTGATTACACGTTATTTGTCTGAGCTTCAGAATACTAAATGATTAAACGGGTAAATTTTAAAAAGTTAACCCACTGATTGTTTTCAAGAACCCCCAAGTTATTTTATTTTGAAAGGACAATCAAAATTTTGGTCACATCAGCTGCATTTGAAATTACTGGCAGAGAATCCCAGTTTGAGCTCAAGACTGTGATTGTATTTGCATATACCTAAGGGAAGACTATGCTTCACAACATAATGTTGAGGAAACTCAGTAATGAAGAAGTTCCTACCGTGTTGACAGAAATTTTCCTTTCTTGCAGTTTTGGTGCTTTAAAGTCAGCTTTTCTTGTGCCTGAAACAGAACTAAAAACAGACCCAAGAATTTAATACAAAATATAGCATTGTAGAATTTTAAATTCTACGATGATACCAAGTACTCTGAAATGTTAAATATTTCCAAAAGCTCACAGTAAAATAAGGAAGATGTGCTTAAGAAATCTTAGCTTAAAATGAGAACCAAAGTTTTTTTGATACTTTTATTTTGCACTGGTTGCAACCTGATACATAAAGCTATGTTCTAGGTTTATGTTAGGCTGCTTTTCTTTCACAGGAAAAACCTAGATGGCTTTCTGTGTGATGTTTCAATATACGTCTTTACGAAATCTCTGTGTAATTTTTGATTCATTTTACTAATATGTAGGAAGAAATTTGAAAAAGATCTCTAGTTTACCTGACGCAGTAAAAACTTATTGCCAAATTTGGTTTTATCTCCACTTACATAAAGTAACTGCACATGATTCTTGAACATGCAGTACCATATGTCTGCCTGAAATAGGAAGTTATTTTTCTATCATTCTTCATAACTGAAAGATAATTTTAGCAGAACAGCTACTTGTATGCCCAATGTTGTCTTTGTTGGCAACAAAATCTTTTTGTTTTGGTGTGGTTCTGGTTTTCTAAGAGAGATAACATTGAGATTAGGAGACAACAATTTTAGTAGTGAAAGTGGGGAACCAAGAAAACTACTTGTAAATTGAAAACTTTTGCTATAAAGATAGTAAAAATACAACTCATCTATTAGAACACTACAAAGTAAAAAATTCCCTTAAAATAAAACCACTGTACCCAAAGTTCTATGCTTGTCTTTCAGCTGAACAGTTGCAGCAACAAGAATTTATTTCAGGATGTATCTAAGTTTAACATCTCTTAAACTTACTTCTCAGTTATTTTGAACTTTTAAATACCACAAATAAGGACTACTTACTTATAGCAAAGATCCTCTCTGAACAACTGTCAAAAAAGAAAAGAGTTGTCTTAATTTTCTGAAGAAAACAATTTGTATTAGAAACAAAAAGCAATTAAGAAATTACCTTGCAGGGAACATAAGAGGAGGAGACTTGGAACACCTTCATCTCAACTGATAGCGGTGGAAGTGCATTTAAAGGTACACCCATTTTTATTTTCATTCTCATACTGTTGTAACTCTTTTTTAGCTCTTCCAAAACCAACATGAGAGATGAGCCTAATTCATTATTTCCATTACTTCTGTTAAAATATGTATAAGACAATAGGATCAACTTCAACAGACATTTGATTTACTTTACTGCTTTCAGAACTGACCAAACATTTTACAGTGTTTAGATTCGTCCACATCACGCAAGAACCGGAGCTCACTCCTAATACACACAGTATACTGCTCTGGAGCGATGCTCTCTTTCAGAGCATTACAACCTGCTCACTTGAACCCTCTCCTACGTAGAAGCCAGCCAAGAAGTCCTGCCTCTGAACCCTTTCCAGTGCCAGGGATAGCTCAGAGGATGGTCTTACTTACACTATTCTACTGCTTAGGAGTTTGTTACAGGGCATATGCTTTATCAGCTAGAGACTCTGCAATCACTACCCCTCCCCTCCCCGTTCCTGCATCACCTCTTAATACTGCACCTCCTCTCTCTTCTTTACCACCTCCTCCCCAGCTCCCCCTCTAAGCGACTCATCCACTCCTAAAGGGATTCTCTGTACTATTCCTCCGGTACAGAAAGACATTCCTAGAAACAAACTATATTTTGCTGCGTCTGTGAATGTTACTGAAAACTTTAGGCTGAAAATAAGACTTAATAATAACTATATAACTATAACTTAATAATAACTATAAGTACTATTACAAGCTATGGATAGAATACATCAGTAACATTTAGCAATTAATGCCTTTAACCAAGTTATCCATCTAATTTAAAAGGATATTACAGTACATGCCTGCTAAAGCACGTGGTTTCCTCCAAAGCCAGTTTGTAAATCTTCAAACAGTGCTGATAGCACATCTGATAATGACTGTTTAGAATCTGCAATTCTGCTTCAATTGCTCTCTGCAGTATTTTTTGAGTGTAGCTTGATGCAGAATTCTTCACAGCTTGTTTGTCAAGGTGTACCAGCCTTTAAAATAGTAATAATAAACAAAACCTTGAAGCCCTTGAATCAGTATTTTAAGTTCATTAATGTTTTATTTTGAAACAAGTAATTTTCCAGAAGCTATTTCTGATATGGTTCAAGGAAAAAAAAAAGAAAAATTAAAGCAGTTCCTATTTACTACACAGAAAAAATACTGTCTTACAGTAGCTTTCATATTATAATCAGCCTTCACCAAGAGGTGGGAACTGCACAAACACCATAATCATTTCTATTCAAAAAGCGCAATCCTAGAAGAAAAAGAAACTTAGCAACTCTGTTGATCCACAGATGCAATTATTTTATTTGCACATTCACAGAATAATTTAGGTTGGAAAGGATCTCTGGGAAGCCTGCAGTACAAACCTCTCTTCAAAGCAGGGCTAACTTCAAGCTTAGCTCAGAGCCTTAGCCAGTCTGGCTTTGTTGTCGGGTTTGGGTTTTTCTGTTCATTTTAAATCTCCAAGAAAGGAGACAGTACCAATACTACTCTCACGGTAAGAAACTTTTTCTTACGCCCACTTAGAATTCCTCCCACTCTAACTGCTGGCTCCTGCCCTTTCAGAACACACCTCCCCAAAGAATTTGGCTCAATCTTCTCTGCAACTCCTCACCAGATTGCCAAGAACGGCGGGAGGCTTCCCACCTCCCCAGCCTTCCCTTCTCCTGGCTGACCAAACCCAGTTCCCTTAGCTTCCCCACAGGTGCTCCACCAGCTCCCTTCACCATCTCTGTGGCCCTCCAGTGGGTGTTTCCCAGTCTGCCAATCTCTCTCTTTCACTGCAAGGCCCACGGCTGGAGATACCTTTCCAGATGCAACCTCATGAGCACCAAACTGAGAAGAATCAACACTTCTCCCCATCCACTGGCTGCACTCTAGCTAACGCAGCCCCAGGATGTGGTTTCCCTTCTTTGCCATGTGGGAGCACTGCTGACTTACACTCGGCTTGTTCTTGGCCAGTCTGCAACCAGCCAACTATCAGTCAACACCCCTGGATCCTTCAGGTATTCAGTATATTTTTCTCACTGGTCCAGGTCCTTTCTGACCTTCTGGTGTAGGAACTGCTGCGCAGCAGTCTTTGAACACTACTAGTTTTGCAAAGTCACAGACCACCTTTCAATCATGAAAAAAATCTTATCCAACATCTAGAATCTCAACCAACAACAATTCTCCACCCACCTGTCAGTGCTTGTCTTTAAACTGCTACTACACAGCTCATTTTTCGATTCCTGCTGTTCCTAAACAAAAAACATTTTTAAAAGTTACAGATTAACATTTGTATAGACAAGATCTGAGCAACTTTAAGTTTAAAAGTTCCACCTATCAAAATCATTTGGTTGTGGGTTTTTTTTAATTACCTGAATTGGTGAACTTCTTCCAGCACTTGCAGTATTGCCACTTGAGTGGTCTTTTGGATTGTCAGTAAGCTGTGACCAAATTTCCTCTGCACTACCAGCCCCACATGACCAGTCTGTATTGCAAGCAACATCTGCAAAGGTTTCATGGTGCCATTCCGCGGGTCGAGATTTGTTCATCATTGTTATCTCCGTATTAATAGCTCTGGACGACAGACAAACCTGAGCACTGGTACTTCTACTTGTTGTAAAGCAAGCTCTAAAATCAGCACTCGCATCAACAGCCTGGTTAATTGTAGAGTCACCGGTAACTTTTTTCCGGTTTTCACAGTGTTCCAATACTGAGTTCAGACAGCTGATATTTCCACAGGAGGATTTATCTGCAACTTCTACCTCAGAAAAGAGATTCTTGCTAGTGAGAATTTCAGAGACTAGAAATTGGGTTTCAGCATCCTTTGCAGTGCGGTCAGTGAGGGTAGCACTACCTGCACACACACCGGATTCTTCACAACTGTAGAAATCAGGGTCCCCTGCATGTTCACAAAATTGCATGGCTATTGCAGAGGCCCTTTCCTGTGGCGACAGGAAAGGATTATCTTGCTTCACTGAGATGCTGTGAATGTGTCTGTCATTCTTTTCAGACACTTCTTCAGTTGTAGCAGTCTGGAGTGGCAGTGTGCTGTCAATTAGTGGTATGTCTTTCACCTCTCCATTTTTTAAACTGTCACATACAAGCAGATTTGGACAGACCTTTTCTTTAATCCCACAAGAATGACTTTCAAGTAAACTTCTACAAACACTATGATACTCTGTTTGCTCATCCTGATGATCACAAGCCATGTCACTGCAATCTAGCAGAGAGTCCTGAGGCAGGTGGGGAAGCTCTGGTGTAGCTGCTTCTGAGCAGGCCTGGTCACCTACACCATGCTTGGAAGAACAACCTTTTGACACATCAGTGAGATTTTGATCCCATGAGACTCCGCCCCCTGGAACTTCTTGAAGTGGATCTATCAGCTTTAAGGTTTTGATTCCTACAGTTTCCCTTTGCTCAGAAAACTCAATTGAGCTATTCCTGTCATCAAAATCTTGCTCATGAGCACTGAGATACTCCAGCTGTGAATCTTCACCTAAATGGCTTTTTCTGCAGTCATCATACATGCCACAATCAAAGTGTGTATTGTCACACGCCCTTCCTAACAGATCAGCTTCTTTCTTGCTTTCACCTTCCTGTGCACAGCAAATTCTCATTCTGTTTTTACTGTACTTTTCAATATCTGCATCTAGGGATGAATTTAAATAAGGTAAGCTTTCCTCTGACACCTTTAGTTCTGAAACATTGGCAGAAGGTGCTGTGTCACAGCCAGAGTGGTTAGCTCCTGCTGCAACATCTCTGACGAGCGTGTGCTCAGCTTTCTCAGAATACAAAAGATGGAAGGTCTGATTGAAGCATCTCCTTTTGCTTTTAACATCGCTGTTCTTTTCTAATTCCATGGTACAAAAACTTGAGCCCTCCTCCTCAGAAGAAATCCACACAACTCACTTCCACTGCAACCTCTCAAAGTCATCAGCTTGTCTCTTCCTATCAATTTCTCACCTTAATAAAAATTAAGAACAGTTTGAGATACTCCATGGTATGTAAGAGAACATTACTGTTTAAAAAAAATACATTAAATTAATCAGTTGATTTTTACCTACTGCATGCTAGCACAGAAGCCAGGAATTACATGGTACATTCTCAAAGAAATCCTAACAAGTCATGGAACAATGTTAAAAGATTTTGCCATTCTTGCTCGTGTGATTTCAATCAAATAAAAGCATCCTCAGAGAACAGTCAATCCTCTCTTCTTATGCTCTGCAGCCAAGTTTCCATCCTGTTACCACTGAGGGATGTCTTGGCTGAATCATCAGAAGCCCTGCTGCTACCCAGCAAGATATTTACATCATACACTAACTTCATGACAGCACACAAGGTGTTTTGATGCACATACTGACCCTGAAAGTCAAGATGCTGATGGTCATGGATTCAGTGACCACAAACTGACCTCATACTACTCCTGACCTCATACTACTCCATTGTGTACTGGCCTGTAAGCACTCCTTGCCACAGAAATCTTAACAGCTTCTTGATCCATGACCAGTCTATTTAGTGTAGGAAATATCCTTTAGTCCAGAAGCTATAAACATTTTAAAAACTACTTAAATGAGTGAAGAGGTGAACTTAGATCTCTGTGCCTCCTAAGAACTAATGTTACTGTAAATTCACTCTCAAAAGAACCCCCTAAAACTTAGTTTGAAGTTGTGGAAGGCAGGCATTCTTTACTGCAGTGCTGGATGCACGGGGGACTGCCCCACCTAATGCATGCCAAAAGACAAAAGCACACATTATATACAATAAAAGAAATTAATTAATGTAATTTCTGAGAAGTACACACCTATTTCCAGAGGATCTAATGCATATGTTAATACATTATGCAAGTGTACTAAAATGTGGGGAAGGGTCTCTGAGGGGCTTCTGTGGGGGTTTTCAGTGGTCCATGGTGGTGTCTAGTGGTTGTGGCAGAGGTGTCTCTGGAGTCCTTTCCATGAACTCTTGAGGTTTTTTTCATTTAAGGCCTCATCTTGGCTCATTGCTCTCTGTGTAAAGTTTCTCAGCTTTTTATCTTTGACTACCACGGGTGTCTGCTGGTTTCTCTGCCCTCCCCAGGATGTACCCATGACACTTGCAAAAATTCTGTCCTTGGGTGTATTCTTATCTGAGACTCCTTACAGCAGTTAGCACCAACTGCTTGCAGGCATCAGCTAGCAAGCATCACTAAAGCCCCTTCAAGTGTTGGGCAATGGGGAAATGGAAGCATATTCCTTTTAATTCTGAGAAAATGGTTATCAAGCATAGAACCATAAGAAAACCTGAGAATCTTTACAACCAGAAAGTGTAAGTCATAAAAGAAAACAGGAAGGTAATTTCTTGGATCAGAGTGCTTCTTTTGGCAACAGAAGAAAGCTGGACCATACACCAAACCAAAGCAATACATCTGCTTTGGACTTGTAACAAACCTAGCTTCACAGCAAACGTGTATGAAAAGCAATGAAAAAGTGTGTAGGGATGGAACACGCTCTTGGTGAAGCTTTCTATGACAAATATAGAAATATTTGTTAATTCTTCTCTGTCTTCCTCCTGAAGCTTACAATGAAGAGAGAGATACATACAAATGTTAAGACCTATTTCTCAGGTAGGTCTGCTTTCTAAACTACTGAAATGAGACATAAACATTTTGTGTTACAGTCACTGGCCTCTAACCTGACTATAACCTCACATAAAACACAGCCCTGTCTGTAACTCTTCCCCCTGTGAGGGCATGCAGTGACCAGCAGGCCCATAAACTGGGTTTCACACACTTTTTAAAGACACAAGTTAGTGGTTCATCCTCCAGAGTAGGTTTCCAGTGTGGTGAAACACAGTCCATAAGGAACCCAGTGAAGTACTGAAGTAAAACATGGGCTTCTGTTGCAGCATGAGGGGAGGCTGGAAACTCAAGCCTGTTTCTTGGCTGCTGCTCTGGGATTAATGCACAAGTTACATGAGCTCTGCCCACTCTGGATATAAACAGGGTGAGCCAGGCCTCGTATCTGCACAGGAAGGTTTGCAGAATGGAATCCTAAGGGGTAACTTCATGATGGCCCTTCCTCAAAGGGAAAAATGGCTTGTCTCTAAATCTTCACCGATTCTCATCTGCTGAGAATCACCATTAAAATGGCCTAATTTAAAATCATTTAATAAAAACTTACCAGGATTTTATTATATACTTTTGTGGGTTTTTTTGTCTCAAAACCACTAGCTTTCTTATTACACTAACTTTACCTTCATCTCCTAATTGAAGCTTTGAGCAATTATATCTGTGAAATTAAAAATCTTGCCATAACAAAGCACATACTATCACAGAGAAGTGACCCTCCACACTTTTCCCTTAAGAACAAGATTCAGAATAGCTCTATGTCTTACATAAAGCACAATAACCTTGTTGTTAGTACTAACGAGGCAGCTAGATGCTTGACAACAGTCGAGCCGGTCAGAAACCAGCACTGATATTTAAGCCCAGCTTCCACGCCGCGGTGCAGCGGGGGGCCAGAGCCGAGCCCCCGGGGAGGAAGGCGGGAGGTCTCAGCGCAGCCCGGCGACCCCGCTCGCCCAAGAGGAAGCCCCGAGCAGGGAACCGCGGCTCAG